TGCGAGCGGTCCGGGGATCAAATCCTGGGTCGTGAGTCGCCCGGGCCAACCAAGCCTTCCATCCCTCCGGGGTCGGTTAATTGGTACCAGACTTGTCTGGGAGGATAAAAACACTGACTTGTACATCGGCTGGCCCCCGCAAGTCATTGTATAGGCCACATCGCATTCAAACGCCACTACGAATGTACAAATGGAAGTAGAATGCGTGCCGCATCCCAAAAAGGGATTGATCAACGGCAAATGCTTTATCCTTTTCCTTATAAATTATAACAAAATAATAATAATAATCCAAATATATTTCCAAAATATGGTAGTATTATATATGTTTGTTATATATAAAGTACATATTCTTTATATGTTGTCCGTTCCACATACAGAAAAATCAAAAGAAACCGCTGAAACAGAAGACTGCTTTTTCCTTTTCTGCGTTGGTCACAGGATTGCACTTGTTGAAGAAAATGCACGCTTGTGCGAGAGTGATAACGAAAAAGGGATGAGATAACGCAGCAACGAGAGAGGGAAGACACCATCGAGGTCAGAGTTATGGTGGAGAGTGCTGTTCACCTCTAGCGCTCCAGATATTCACAATGAAGTGAAAAGTCAGAAGCTAAACACTTTACGACCAGACTCCTCTAATAATTAAGAAACTTGAACACTCAGGTAACCGTGAAATGCGCGCTGAGTTGTGAAAATTGATGTTTTGAAAGTCGAAGCTGCTCTCTGCTCCTCCCCCCCCTGGCTACTGCTGTACTGAAAGACAGTAGAAAATTGTGACGGTCCTTAAATGTAAAGAGTGATAGAGACGCAAAACATGTCTCGGTCTGAGCTCAGAGATCTAACTATTAGAATAAAGTGACGGAAAAAAATGAGGGTTAGCAGAACTAGCGACTCGAAATGGGTCATTAACAGTTAAACAACACTACCAATTAAACTGTCATAAAGCAATTCAATTGAGTGAAGAACACAACTGCGCAAATAGGACACGGTAGCGTCCTGACATTTAAACACTGTGCTCAGACAGTCAAGGGTGTGTTTTCGACGTCTCAACGACGGACTGTGCGTTGGGAATTGGATGACATGCGGGCGATAACAATAGAGATGCGCTACTAAGAACATCTGTGACGATAATTAACAATTATTGCTCCGAAAATCAACCGGAAAACGGAGGCCACTGGACAGCGCAACGGCCCTGTCCAGAGCGCTGTTCGCCTTCATCATATCTGTAGCAAAACTTTGCCCAGGAAAAACTGGTTATGGCTAATCACATGTGGGTGCATGATGGGATTGGGATGGCTGTATAGCGATCGAATGACATGGAGGGTCGAAAAAGTAGGCTATGGAATGCGGTAACAACTACCCTTTGGGAACCATGTCTAGTATGAAGTTTCAGGGAAGATCACCACTTTTTGCGTTCAGTGGTAAAATTTTAGGGCCACTTTCCTCGCTCAGGTTAGCCCTTTCTAAAGCAATGAGCAAAATTGATGTTGATATCAGTTTTGACACAACAATACCACTCGAGAGTACGCAAATGGTACGCAGATAGAATTCGTGCCCAAATAACTTGCTTTCAAAAGTGAAATCCTGCCAGGACCAGCATCTAAACGACACATTTTATATCCCTATTGAATAAACCTCTTTTATGAGAAAAAGGTTGCAAAAGGTTGGTTACACCCTTTCAAGTAGTGAGCGCTACGGGCTCAGAAACTGGAGCCTATGGACAGCAGCAACCATTCCGATGCCACCGCTACGATGTCCAAGTCTCCGCTGTTCTTACTACGCTCTTTCATATTTTTGCGTCTGTGCTCCTGCTTTGACAGTACAGCATCTCCTCTCAATCTGTCGTTCGTGTGCTGCTCACTGTCCCGAGGCGGTGTCATAAAAAGCCAGATGCGTTTAGCGGGGGTTATCTTAAGCTTATCAGTTTGGGAACTCATCCATCCACTTCGGTCACTTCGGGACCTCATTAAGCCTTGATATACTGATATTCGGCGGAATGTGACCTTTAAGTTGGCTGCGGGGGTCAACAAATTAATAAATAAGATGTCACGCAATATGAACAAGGTTGGGAAGTTGAGCGTCGGAGCTCCAGCGCAAATTTTTATCAAAGATTTTTAATCCTAGTAGACACATTGTGTTCCAGCATGGAAGATAATGGGAGGCGTCGTCGCTGTCGGTCCTACTTTCGCTGTCGTGTCCTGTCAATTGAACTGCGGACATAGCAAGCATGTTAGTTAGATAGTAGGATTCAGTTTTCAGGGTATGTCCATTCGCAGTCCGATGCTGCGATAATTCTCAAACTATGCCTTGTTCTGCAATAATGCATCTGTGAAGCTCTCACCTCGGATTTAGAATAAAAAGTTCCACTCATCGGGGCTCCTACACAAGACTGCCAGATAAATGTTTCAAATGATACTCCATACGCAGCGAGACGAGAGAACTGATAAGCGTATAGCCATCTTATGGACCGTGCGCCAGGTACTTGCTTTCGACTGTCCTGATTAAAAAGGATTCCCGAAGCATTCAGAATCTCATAGCCCTGATAAAGTAGTTCCGATGTGAGAAAAGCGTGGCGTGTTGGAGTCAAGAAGTTCCAAAAGTATCATGGATAGCTATCGGAGTCTGAATCTTCTACCAAAGGTATGTACCTGTTCGTGCCCCTTCAAATTGGCATCTCTGCAATGCTACGCAGAGTTTGACGCTGGAAAAATCCTTTTGGGAGTCGCTTCTAAGCGACGACTCTTGACGATAAAAGAAGATCGTATAAACCAGATTATCAAAGCGCAAAAAGCATCAGTAACCGCTTTTTCCCACGATTGATGAGGGCGCACGTACTGTCGGCATCGGCGGGCAATCGCTATCCACAAACCGTTTCACATTTACAATAAGGTTGCTCCACATGAAACCACTGCACTTACTATACTCTGTAGTCGCTAGTCAAAATAAGGACGGGAAATGCTAAAAATATGGATAACAGGATGGTCTTTCAAAATTAGGTAATTGCTGTTCTGAATCGACAAGTTATTAGACTCCACCGTATCAGATGTGTATCCTTATTAAGTGATCACTCCAGATGTTTGAAAGTAACTATTTTCAGAACACTCAACTAACAAACTCTATCCTCCTTCTAGACCTTGCCAGCTAGTACGACGGTCGCCGGTGTTGTCCTAGTTTTTTTGACTTCCATTAGTGGGCCTCAGAGCAGTCAAGGAGGCCTTCGTGGACGTATTCTGGCCAGAAGCCGATCCTTTTAAGTCGATGCTTGGGCCTCTAAGGAAAGAAGGACATGAGTTACCGAGTGCCTTCAATCTGCGCATTGTGGAAAGTAATCTAATTGTGCACTTAATGTCGGGATTATAACCTCCCTTTCAAAAAGCGAGAAAGTGTCGGGTGCAGACCATACACCACAAGTGACGACGGCCTCCAAGTAAATCTGGTTAGTAGTTGTTCATAGTGATAGCTGATTTTTGGTAAATGATAGTTGTAATAAGTAACAGACCGCTGATGCATATTTTACCCATTTCTTCAGACTGAATCACATATCATCATCGTTGATCACTTAACAAAAACGGGAGGGCTCGCTCAGCTTGACAACCTCTATCGATAAACGGAGGACCTTGGCTCATTTCACGAAAACCACGACATCCAAAAAAAGATAAATAAGAAATAAACAAAGAGAGTTGGGTGTGGGCAGTGGAATCTGATGTACCACGTCTTGCGTAATGGACTATAAGTAGGGCACTTTCGTGAGGACCACTGTGATGAACTCGGCAATACGTTCACAGAACACATTCGTAATCTGGAAAGACGTCTTTTCGGATGTTGTATTGGCTGTGCCCATCGAATTTGCCCTATTACGATAGGTAAGCTCGGGCTTATACACCATGCAGGCTTTTCCACTGTGAAAATCCTTGCCTTACTGTCGATATGTTGTTTTTCGTTGGAACCTTACCTAACGGAGTAATTCGATGCCTTGACTACGAAAATGACACTAAATTCTGGCGCTCGCGCCACTTGGCGCCTACCAGCGGGGACCAGGCTTTCAATTTGGTGTAAACTTGTATACAGGAGTTCATGTCATATTTGGTCAGGGTACCATATCCCCTCCCGCCTCCACCATACGGCAGCTTCCACCGAATCCGATACGAACACTTTTGTAACATAATGACACCAACTGGCGCCAGATGGTGCCAACGTCAAAAATGGGTGTCATTTGTGTGCCATTAGAACATCGAATTACCCCTAAGGGCAAAGTTTGAACGGATCGTTCTGAGATCGTCATTAGTGCCGGCGTGTCTTATGGATTTTCGCTTATCATACGCAACCATCAAAGGCTCCATCAAGCGAACAATCAAGCTTTGAATTTTGCTGTGTGGCAGAGGCTCATTTGGTAAGACTATCGGAAGAGTGAAAAAGTCAAGGGTTGAATAGGGGAACAATTTCATCAATGAAACAAATTCTATAACAAAAAATGATGTGAATCGTTAAAGATGGCAGAACTAGCACCAACTTCTACCCTTCAAACTTTTCATGGTGTATGAGCAGGGTATCTAATGATTCCCCTAATTCATGATGGATAAGACCGAGCTTTAACACCTTTAACACCATACGGGATCAATAGGGCGCGCTTATCTATCTCTCATAAGTGATGGCACTCTTACTACCTGATCCCCTATCAAGAGAGGAATATCCCTCATTTCTCCGCAATGGGGAAAGGTGGTTGGTGAGTGATGGTTGTACTTTTGCGTAGTGAGTAAATATTTCCTCAAGTAAGACTCATCTGCAAAGCTTGCGTCGATCTAACTCTCTTGGTGTAACCAACTGTTGTAGGAAATACTTTGGGAAACTTCAGAAGTTTTTGTAATGGGCATCATTTTCATGCTTCTCAGCTCAGTTATCTGTGAGCGAAACAAGATTCCATAGGAAGGCAAGCGTTATCGCAAGGTACGGGGGCAGCCTAGGACTAAGCCTAGGAGGGTGCAGGAACTAAAGGAAAAATGAAAACTGCTCACGCACTCTGGGTTTCCTACTCCCTCACTTAGAGCTCAGTTCCATTAATAAGAAAAAGGATATGCTTCCTGTGGTTTTGGTTGCATTGCCACAACAATGCCCCTGTATCATGCGATAGCGCCGGAAAGCACACTGCAGAAAAGAGCTTTAAACGAGACATTTCCTCCTTTCGTCGACAGCGATGAGCTCAGGCTTAACAATCCTAGTTCACATCATTTCGTCTTCAACACAACGTGTCTTGTCCGGGGGGGGGGTGTCCTGCTGTTGCATAATACTGTTCCTTCCATATCAGAACCATTGTTGCTGCTTAGACTGCATTAATAGTTCGCGATTCCTGAGACCAGAATAGCACGCGACAGTGAAAAAGATATGAAT